ATCTAACTTTGCATCGTCGCTAGGGTTGAGTGGCGTGGCAAGTTGAGTGGCTAATCCTTTGGAAAATGATCATGAAAATGCTAACACACATACACATAGTGGTGTACACTTGGTGGTGTTGGCATATTTATAAAGGAGATGAAGTTGGAGTTGATATGAATCAACTCGGTGATGAAACAGAGGCGAGAAGGGTTAGAAACTCCACCAGCGGAGTGTCCGCCCGTAGAGTGCGGACAGTCCGACGGTGCCACCGGCGCCCTATACAGAAAAGACAGGGTCTCACAGAGTGGACCGGACGCTGGTCACGTGGTGACCGGATGCTGGGGTCCTGCGTCCGGTCAATGGCGGTAGAGAGCGTGCAGGTGTCGGTCTTTGACCGGACGCTAGCGCTGAAAGTGATCGGATGCTGGCAGGGTGCGTCCGGTCAGGCTGACATACGGTGACGTAGGCGACGCAGAGAAGGTGGAGAAGGACCGGACGTTGATGCTACGTCTGATCGTGACCGACCGGACGCGTCTGGTCGTGACTGGTACCTTACTGGAAACGACCGGACGCTGGGGTTGCTGCGTCCGGTCACTTTGAGCAGCTGCGTCCGGTCATCACTTGACCGTTGAGATCAAGCAACTGAGGTTGAATGGTGGTGACACGTGGCGAGCATCCGTTGACCGGACGCTGAGGTCCTGCGTCTGGTCCATATGACCGGCGCGTCCAGTCAACCCGAAAAACGCCCAGTGAAGGGGTAACGGCTAGTTTAGCCCGTGGGGCTATAAATAGAAGGGTGTCTCGACCATTGCTGGTGCTGAGCACCTTGGAGGAATTTGTGTCCATGCTTGAGAGTGCTTGGGAGCCCTCCATCTCACATATGCTTGACAGTGACCATTCGATTGTGTGAGAGAGCGATTTTAGTGCGATTGCATCGTGAGGTTGTATCGAGTGGCACTAGGTGATCGAGTTGTAAGCTGGTGGTGCTTGTTACTCTTGGAGGTTGTCACCTCCTAGACGGCTTGGTGGTGGTCTCCGTCGAAGCCCGTAAGAAGCTTGTGCGGTGCTCCGGAGAAGAGCTTTGTGAGGGGTATTGTGCTCGCCCCGCGGAAGCCGTGAAGAGCAACTCTAGTAAAGCGTGTCATTGAGCTACCCTCACTTTCGGGGTAGGTTCATGCGATGCCCAACGTGTGGGCTTGACGGGTGATGCCAATTAGCCGCCGAACCACTAAGTGAGCGGTCGACACAACAGGGACTAGCGTGTTGGCAAGCACGTGAACCTCGAGAGAAAAATCACCGTGTCAACCTTGTTCTTTCCGTTGGTTTGCATCCTTGTTACACAAGCTTGTAATTACTTTCATATACATTGTGCTTGTGTAGTTGCTCTTGTATCTAGTTAAGCTTGTGTAGCTCACTAGTTACCTTCTTGCTTGTGTAGCATAGAAGTAGCTCCCTTGCGTGGCTAATTTGGTTTGTGTAACCTTGTTAGTCACATTGCTTAGTTTGTGTAGCTAAGTATTTATGCTCTCTAATTTGGCATTGGTTGCCTTGTTATTGAGCATTGCTAGTGAGCTTAGATGGCTTTGTGCTTTTACTTACTAGCATGTGTAGGAGCTCCCTTGTTGCTTAAAGTATTAGTGGCATAGGTTTATGTGACCTTGCTTCTAGAATTGGTTAGGTGAGCTCTAGCTAGTCCAACACCTTTGTTGCTTAATTAGTATCCTTGGAATGTGCTAGAGAACATAAATAGAGGGGTGTAGTATTGGCTAGACCGATAGTTTTAATTCCGCACTTGTTTCGGTTAGTCGACGCGATTAATTTTAGATAGGACTATTCACCCCCCGCCTCTAGTCCGCCATCTCGACCTTACACCATCCCCATCGGCAATTCGGCATCAAGCAGAAGGTGGTCGTCGACCAACTCACTGATCTGCGATGGCGGCACGAGTGAGCAAGGAGATGGTGGAGATGGGCGAGCAGGGGGCGCGAGCGAACTGGGAGTCGCAACCGAAGCGCGACGGAGCTATGAGCGGTGTGCAGCCTCGCGAGGTCGAGGAGCAAGAGCATGTGGCCCTGCGCCGAGTACGGCCCGAGAAACCTGGCTTCATGGCAGGATCCGCGCGAGCCCGACTGCGCGTAACTTTGCGCGTCGAGGGCTCAGTTTTTGGAAGCGCTAAAAGATTAGGAGACGATTTTAGGCGCCGTTGGAGACATGTCTTTCTCAATTTTACTAAAAATCTTAAATTGGGAGTGTTTTAAAAATTCTTGGAGATGCTCTAAGTGTAAACGTTGCTTTCATCCTGCCGTCAGGCTGACGCAACTAGAAAAAGCAAAACATTTTTTTAAAACTGCTATAACTTTTGAATAGTATATTCATTTCTAATTCCGTCTACACCGTTGTGTTCTACGTAACGAGACCAACAAAACTAGACCTTACTTGCCTATGCTTCAAAGAATTTTATTTTAGTAGCAATTTATATGTAAATATGTGCTAATAGATTTATCAAAGGAATTACTACCATGTAATACTAAAGTTGTTACTGAAAAATATACTCAGTTGTAATATAGTATGCATATCGATTGTTGCCATGGGGATATAATAAAAATTGTTATATAATATTTACATAAAGATACTAACTCCTAAAGAGAATAGCATTTCAAATTAAAACAAGACAAGCTTCAAGCTGGAGGGGCAAATTATTAAAATAAGTATTGCCTAAAGCTGCCAAATGGGGGTAAGTTATTATACACATTACAAAAGCCAGGAAATATTACTAGCTGCCAACTGTGGGCATTTATTAAAAACAAGGGTAGCGGCGCAAAAACAAGACAAGCTACACCAAGGGATAAATTATTAGACCAAGCATTGGAACAAGCATTGTATAATGTGCCAACTAGAGGGGCAAGTTATTATATAACCCACTATATGAGAGTATGTTGCAACTTATATATTGTAAAACGAGAAATAATTATGTAGAAACAATGCAAAACTAGCTACCAACTAGAGGAATTTATTAAAAAAACAAGACTAGCGGCGCATAACAAAAGACATCTGCAACCTTAAGGCGCAAATTATTAAAACAAACATCACATAAGCTGTCAACTAGAGGGCAAGTTATTATAAAATTGCATTGCAAAAGCTGAGAAATTTGACTACCTGCAAACTAGGGGCATTATTAAAATAACGAGAGTAGCCACCGAAACCGGACAAACTACAACTTAGGGGTAAATTTACTAAATCAAGCATTGCATAAACTGTCAACTAGGAGACAAGTTATTATAGAACACATTACAGAAGCCATGAAACATAGTATGCACAAGCATGGGGGGCAAAAAATATCAAAGGATTTACTACCACGCAATACTATAATTATACAACTGTGGGGACAAATTATTAAAATAAGCATTACATAAGATGCCAACTGAGGGGCAAGTTATTATACAACTAGTTCAAATCTGCTGCTCCTTTCCGCTCGAATCTGGCGGCAGCCGCCCCGCTCCATCGATCCAAATCTGCTCCTCCTCTCCGCCAATTTGCTCCTTCTCTCCGCAGATTGGCCGCACTCTCCGCACTAAAACACACGAATGCAAAAAAAATGAAAAACAAAACTAAAAAACTGAACACTGAAATTACAAAGTGAAATTGCAAAACTAAAATTACATAATGAAATTGAAAACTTGACTGAAAACTAAAACTAAAAAACATGACTGAAGACTGAAACTAAAAAAAATAAAAAAGACTAAAAATGGCTACCATTTTGTAACAACTTATACATTGTAGGTAAGACAACTAATATGCATGACTTAGAAAGACATTCGAACCTAAATGGGTCGCTGAAATATGAAACTAAAAAAATTAAAAAAAAACATGACTGAAAACTGAAATTAAAATTAAAAAAAACTCATGCTGGAATTAAATAAACCAAGTATCAAATCTTGTACTTTGGAGCATACAGAGCTACACTGTGCATGAAACAGAGCAAAGTGTTGTTACAGCCTACAGAACCAAACTGCATTTTGCAAACAACAAACAGAGCAATGCAATCCTGCTGCGCCAAATTACACAACAAGCAGTGAGCCATAGTTTCAGACAAATGATGCATTTTCAGCAAGCATTGGCACTAGCAGTATGTGGGAAAAATAATAATAATTTAGCGGTTGCATACAACAAGCTCTGGTGCCATCTACTCTTGCTTCCACGCTGCAGCATTTTTATTAGAAGTGAAAGCAAGGACACCAGTCTTAGACGAAAACTGAAACTTCATAACTGAAAGCAGTATCTGAAATGCATAACGAGGAGTTAAGCAACTAATTTTCATTTCAACAAAGCTGAAATGCAATTTGTTTTATCTCAACTTCATGTTACTAATTTGTAACTGAAAGAAAATTGCTAATTGAAATTAATAACTAAAACTGCGAAAATAACATTGAAAACTGAAATTGCTAACTGAAAGCACATAATTAGAATCAAACTAAAATTGGTAACTGAAATTGAAAACTGAAATTGCAATGCCATTACATATAACAGGGCATACTAAGAAGCTACCAAAAAAATGCAAAATGAAAGCTAACTGAAACTGAAAGCAAACTCAAACTTCATGCTCGCTCATCTCGTCTCGGACACAGCTTTCGGGAGGTTCGGTCGGAGCGCAAAGGTGCGTTGCGAAGGAAGGCGGCGGACGGAGAAGGAGACGCTCGGACTGGGGATGGGTGCTTCGGGCATGGGGAGGCGATGGCCACTAGTGGGCCGGCCTGTCGCGGACGGGTGTCGCGCGCTGGTGGTGGAGCGCGACCGGTCGCTTAATACATTTTGCGAAATCTGTTTTCAGAATTAAAATAGGATTTTCGGACATCCGGCCCAAATTGAGATTGCACCCAGCCCATTCGTCCACACTTGTCCACCCTGCTGCAGCTTCCTTGCCCCCAGTCCCGTGCTTTGCCCGGCCCAAACACCTCTGGAAAAAAAAGGTAATCGGCCGCCGGCTGCGGAAGCCACGAACCGCCGCCGCCATTGCCACCATGGACGACAACGACACCCTTGCCGCCGTCCTATCCTACCTCCCGCCGCCCGCCGCCTCTGCCACCGGCTCCCTCTCTTACTCCTTCCCCGCCGCGGACGTTGCCTCCCTCAACGGCGAGGAGGAGGACCGCATCGGCCGCCTTCCCGACGAGATCCTCCGCAACATTGTCTCCCGTCTCCCAACCAAGGACGCTGCCCGCACCACGGTGCTCTCCTCCCGCTGGCGCCACCTATGGGCTTCTATCCCTCTCGCCCTCGACGACGGCGCTGGCGGACTCGCCCCCGCCGCGGCGACGTCGGCGCTTGCCTCCCACCCGGGGCCAGTCGTCTCCGCGCGCCTCGCCTCCTCGCAGGACGCCGAGGTCGTCGCCTCCGTGTTCGCCTCCCTCGCCTCCAGGGACGTCGAGGACCTTGTCGTGGTGATCAATGGCTCCTGGCCAGTCGAGTACCGCGTCCCCTCCGAGGTCTTAGACTGCGCGGCCCTTGGCCGCCTCTGGATCGGCCTCAGTCAATTCCCGGACACGTCCGGCGTCGCTCCGGCCCTCCTCAGTCTGCGGGAGCTCGGCATCGTCCACTCCTCCGCGCAGGATCGCGACCTCCACGCCGTGATCCCACGCTGCCCCGAGCTCGAGACCCTCGCCCTCGTTCTGACGCAGGACCACCCGAGATACCTCCATATCTGGTCGGGGAGCTTGCGCGGCGTGGTGATTTGGAAGTCGATGCTCAGAGAGGTGCACCTTGACGATGCGCCCAACCTGGATCGGCTGCTGGTGGAGCCGATTGCTGATGCTGCCACACACATTAAAATCATTAAAGCACCAAAGCTCAAGATTCTTGGTTACTTCGATGTTGGACTGCATCAACTGAAGATTGGTAATACTGTCATAAAGGTACGCTGCGTGTGCTGCTTATTTCATTTGCCTCTCCATAGTGGGATAGATGATATTTAATCATTCCGTTTCTCTTCCTTGTATTGAAGCTTGAGACAAAGATAAAGCCAAACGCAATGGTTCGGACCCTGAGGACACTGGCATTGAAGGTGCAGTTTGGAGTCGAGGATCAAGTGAAACTGATGCCCACCTTGCTTAAATGCTTCCCATGCCTAGAGACATTGTACATCAAGGTATCAAGCCCATGAATTCATCATTCATGTTGTAGTTTGTGATTTTACTTGCTAAACTAAACCATTAACTTGGTTGCCATGTAGTCGGTTCCTTCTGAAGCACTGGTTAATGCTGGCATAGAATTCTGGGATCAAGTTGGCTTCACAGAATGTGTATATTCACATCTCAAGAAGTGTGTGTTAGAAGCTGTGCGAGGCGAGGATAATGAGCTGGCATTTGCAAAGTTCATCATGGAAAGAGCTCAAATGTTGGAGGACTTGCATGTTTTTGTGGATGGCAGTTGTTCAAAAGATTTTGTGCTATGTCGTTTATCTTCTGAAGGGTGTGTATCTCCAGATGCTAGAGTTGTGGTGGAGAGGCAAGATGGCACTGTGTGGGGCTTCCAGAGAGCCATCGATTTGTTTCAGAGTGACCCATTTGGTTGCTGAATCTGGAGGTATTATCATGGTTTTCTCAAACTTCTTTACATTCTGTATTCTTCATATCGTCATATTGTTATTGTCAACACCACACCTGCACTTCGAGTTTTCGGCACATCTAGTCATCCAGTTTAGACAGTCATATATGTTACTATTATGTCTGATTCTTTAACTGCTTAAGTCTACACAGTGCCTGATTTTTTTTTATTGTAACCCCTGATCCCTTGAGCTTTGATTATGTCATAACTGTTATGAATCCAGCTTGAGATGCAACATCAGTTCTTCCAAAAAAAAATTGCCATGATCTCTGTTTTCTTCTGGTACTGTCAGTTGTAGATAGGACGAGAAATGTGTCCTGGTATGTCAGTTTAGCCCATTGGATTTACATATAGTTTTTGCCACAACCATGATGTGTGTTCTTCCCAAACTTCCAATTGCAGTGGTAATGAAAAAGTATAAATTTACTGGATTGCATTGCTTTTGCTTGTTATGACACATCATTCACCTCACCTTTTGGGTGACAGTTGCATAGGAACTTTCCTCAGTTCTCATCAGAACAATTTACTATTTTATCTCAGGTGGCAATTTGCTATTTAACTAGCAAGCTTGCCCATGCATTCGCGCAGCTAGATAGCAAATCACAACCTAATATCAATGTTGTTTGTCATCTCCATTGCCGATAAGCAGTTCGGGCATTGGCAAATGGCAACTCAAGTCATCCCCTTATGGCCTTACCCCTTTTGTCTGTCTCTTGTGCCTCCTCATGGCCAGTGTTCACATGTAGCTTGTTGGCCACGATAGTCGATACCGCTGCTAGTCCATTTTGTATCCAAGATCACTGAAGTTAGCTGCCAGCATTATTTCCCTCTCCTCTCTGGTGCTGCATTATTTTTCCTCGTCATTATGTACTACTTGGATCTTCTTGCTAGGTCGATCTTGAACACATGGATCACTCTGTGATTTTCCTCATTCCTTGCGGAACTGAACCCTACTGTTGATAACATGCTTAGCCTACCTAGTGGCTGCCCAACGACGACAGGAGGTCGTCGTGCGCACGGTGCGGGAGGTTAGCGGCACCAGTTGGTCGACACTGACTCGCACCAACTATGGCGAGTGGGCGGTGACCATGAAGGTCAAGCTAAGAGCCCGACGGCTCTGGAATGCCATTGACAAGGGCACCGACAACGAAGAAGACGACATGTCAGTGTTGGAGGCTATCCCCGCCTTTGTGCGGAGTAGTCTGTGGAGTGTTGGGGCGAAGAACTCGCTAAGGAGGCGTCGGAGGCCATTGCGGCGATCTTGGCCGCCGGTTCCGGCCAGCGCAGCAAAGAAGCGACGGCCTGTGTTCATTTTGAAGCAGGAGTACGTCACCCTCAAGTTCAAGGATGGTGAATCGGTGGAGGGCTTCTCCCTCCGCCTGCAATTGCTCATCAGCAAGCTGAGGAGCCATGGTGTCACCATCGACGAAGAAGAGGCGGTCTCCAAGTACCTCCGCTCCGTGCCGGTGAAATACATCCAGATCGCTCTCTCCATAGAGATGATGCTGGACTTGTCCACCCTCATCATTGAGAATGTGACAGGCCGTCTAGGGGCGGTGGACGAGCGCATGGAGCAGGCCACAGCAATGATGGACAGCGGCAAGGCTTCTTCGGAGAAGAAGGTGACACCATGGCTGACAGAGGAGTGGTCGGCCTTCTTCCTCCGGGCCGACCACTCCGCTGAGGAGCCATGGTGTCACCATCGGTGTGCCATGCTGACAGAGGAGTGGTCGGCCCGGAGGAAGAAGTCCGAGGAAGCCTCTTCCAGCCGCGGTGGCGATGGCAAGCGCCGCGGCAAGGCTTCTTCGGAGAAGAAGGTCGACACCAACGCCTGCCGGCGCTGCGGGAATACGGGCTATTGGGCAAAGTAGTGCCCAAATCGCAAGCAGGAGAAGAAGGCTGAGGCTCATTTAGCGCAGGTTGATGAGGTTGATGAGGCCACTCTCCTGATGGCGACGTTCTGTGCACTGCATGACGTTGAGGCCGAGGAGAAGGGAGAGGTGTTGGCGGTGGAAGGCCTCGGCAACGCTCTGAAGGCTGTCCACCTCGACGAACCGCGCGCCCAAGTCCACCTCGGACGTGTGGGCTGCGGACATGAGTAGCGGTGGTACCTGGACTCCGGCGCCAGCAACCACATGACAGGCTCCAAGGAAGCCTTCTACGAGCTCGATGACGTGACCGGCACGGTGAAGTTCGGTGACAGCTCAAGGGTGGCGATCCGAGGGCGCGGCACCATCATCTTCAGGTGCCAGAACGGTGAGCACCGCGCGCTGACGGATGTGTACTACATCCCGCAGCTGCGTTCAAGCATCGCCAGCATCGGGCAGCTGGACGAGCGCGGATGCGAGGTACTGATCGAGAGCAGGATCCTGAGGATTCATGATCGGGAGCGGCGTCTTCTCGCGAAGGTAAAACGCTCATATAATCGATTGTACCTGCTCGATTTGAAGGTGGAGCAGCCGGTGTGCCTGGCAGCATGGCACACCGAGGAGCCGTGGCGGTGGCATGCTCGGTTTGGCCATCTCAGCTTCGACGCGCTCGGTCGGCTGGAGAAGATGGTCCGAGGGCTACCCCACATCAAGCATGCAGGCGAGCCGCGTCACAGCTGCCTGGCCGGGAAGTAGAGGAGGCTGTCGTTCCCAAAGGCGGCCAAGTATCGTGCGACGGACGCTCTCGAGCTCGTCCATGGCGATCTCTGTGGGCCAATCACGCCAGCCACAAGCGGTGGTCGGCGGTACTTCCTCCTGCTCGTGGATGATTGCAGTCGTTATATGTGGCAGCAACTCCTGACGAGCAAGGATGAGGCGGCGGCGGCGATCAAGAAGTTCAAGGCGCACGTGGAGGCGGAGAGCGGCAAGAACTTGCGCGTGTTGCGGACGGATCGCTGGCGGCGAATTCACTTCGGTGGAGTTCGCTGCGTACTACGCGGATCAGGGTGTGGTGCGACACCACACCGCGCCGTACTCGCCGCAGCAGAATGGCGTGGTGGAGCGGCGGAACCAGACGGTGGTCGGCATGGCTCGATCCATGATGAAGGCCAAGAGCATGCCGGCAAGGTTCTGGGGTGAGGCGGTTTCCACAGCAATGTTCATCCTCTCAACGCGTCCACCAAGGCCCTGAAGGGCAAGACGCCGTTCGAAGCTTGGTATGGGTGCAAGCCGAGTGTGTCCTTCATCCGGACATTCGGTTGCATCGGCCACGTCAGGAAGACGAAGCCGGTCCTCACCAAGCTGGAGGATAGGAGCCAACCGATGGTGCTCCTGGGCTACGAGGAAGGTACCAAGGCGTACCGGCTCTATGACCCACGCGGAAGCAAGGTGGTTGTCTCGCGCGACGTCGTGTTCGACGAGAAGACGGCCTGGGACTGGAACAGTCCGGGCGCGGGGGAAGCTGGCGGCTTCACCAGCACATTCGTCGTCGAGCACTTGGTCATCCACGGTGGTGGAGACGCTGGAGAGGAGGTGCCGACCACTCCAGCAACAAAGCCGAGCACTCCGGGAGGTGTGCCGAGCACTCCAGGAGTGGGGCCGAGCGGTTCTGCAGTGGTGCCGACCACTCTAGGACGGGTGTCGAACGCTCCTGTAGAGGAGCCGGGAGGTCTTGCAGTGGTGCTGAGCACTCCTGCAGTGGTGCCAACCACTCCAGGAGTGGTGACGAGCGATCCAGGAGTAGTGCCGAGCACTGTGGCCGGGGTGCCGAGCACTTCAGGTGCTGTGCCGACCACTCCGGTGGAATAGGGGACTCCATCGACGCCGATCGAGTTCGACTCACCTCCAAGCGACATCATAGAGTTCGTGGATGCTTTCCACGACGGTGAGGAGGTGCGGTTCCGCAGGCTGGACGACATCGTCGGCGGCACAAGGTCCTCGGGCATGGCGGGTAGGCTGCTCAATGACCCAGAGCTGCTTCTCGTCAGTGCAGAGGAACCACCCACGTCCGCGCTGGCCGAGCGCGATGCAAATTGGCGATGGGCGATGCTGGAGGTGATGAAGGCGACCGAGGAAAACAAGACTTGGGAGCTCGTCGATCCACCTCCAGGATGCCGTCCGATCGGCCTGAAGTGGGTGTACAAGGTCAAGCGGGACGAGCGTGGCGCCATTGTCAAGCATAAGGTGCGCCTCGTCGCCCGAAGCTTTGTCCAGCGCGAGGGCATCGACTTCGAGGAAGTCTTTGCGCTGGTAGCCCGCGTGGAGTCTATCCGACCGCCGCTTGTCTTTGGCGTGACAAAGAAGGATCGGCGCGCGTCCATCACCGGACGTAAAATCGGCCTTCTCGGCGGGCGAAATGGCGGAGACGGTCTTCGTTAGGCAACCTCCGGGTTTCATTGGTTAAGGGAGCAGAAAGCACGTGGTGCTCATTGCATAAAGGCGCTCTATGGGCTGCGGGCAGCCCGCGAGCGTAGAACGCTAAACTTGACGCCTTCTATTTGGCGAAGCTTGGGTTCACTGATGCGCAAGCGAAAAGCACGCGCTCTACACGCGGCGACGGGGGAAGGAGGAGCTCGTCGTCGGCATGTATGTGGACGACTTGATCGTCACCGGCGCGCGTGCGGAGGACATCGACAGCTTCAAGCACGAGATGGCGGCTCGTTTTCGAATGAGCGATCTCGGCGCGCTCTTCTACTACCTCGACGTCGAGGTGAGATAGGGGAAGGAGGCGCGTACGCCTCGAAGCTGTTGGAGCGGAGCGGCATGGCTGAGTGCAAGCCGTGCGTGACTCCGATGGAGGAGCGGCTGAAGCTGACGAAGGCCAGTACCGCGGCGAAGGTAGATGCAACACTTTACCGGAGCATCGTCGGCGGTCTGTGCTACCTAGTCCACACGAGGCCGGACATTGCGTTCGCCGTGGGTTACGTCAGCCGCTTCATGGAGGATCTCCGAGAGTATCACTGGGCCACGGTGAAGCGGCTGTTGCGCTACGTCAAGGGACGGTGGATTAGGGGATCGTCTTTCCCAAGACCGGCGGAAGTGG